AACCACCAGTATGTCCTGTAACTACTTATACAGGCGCACCAACACCTGCAAACGATGACAATGAAGGTAAAAAATAATCTTAATTGGAAATATTAATCTTTAATTCGATGTAATAGATTCAAGGCACAAAATAGACTTGTCTTAGGAACTTTATTATTCACTATTCAGATACAAAACTCATACCTACAAACTTAGCATTTGAAAGTATTAGGTATATAATTTACGAGGAAGTTGTGCCCACATTTTTGTCTTACTAATGCATAATATAACAATTAATTGTATGTTCAGAAGAATCCATTTTATTTAGTTATTTCTAACATTAGAGACTAGAGTGATTGACCTATATTATACAATTTAAAGTTAAGAATTTTATTCGGCTCACTAGTAGGTAATTTATGATATTTTAACTTCAAGTGGCCTATGAGCATTTCATATTTAAAATGTTCAACACTTTATACTAAAAAATTATAAAATGCTTACACAGTGATCTGGATAAAATGTTTACTTTTAAATTTGGTAGTACAGGTCAATTCACTATAATATTTAAAATAAAGTAAAATAGATTCTAAACATAAAATGTGCCATGTTCTGTGTTAGTAAGAATAAAACAATAGAGCATAAGACAGAGAAGGGTACAACATCCTAAAATTCATCTTCTTTTTTAAATTTTTTTATTACTAAGATGTATAACTTAAAGAAGATGATATATTGTTGACACAGTTTTTATTACTAAAATAAGTTCTGTCTAATATATGTTTTTAGAGATGTTATTATATACTTTTGATTTATATATTTATAATGTAGGTATTAAATTAAAAGTATCAATGTGGTGAAGAAGGGAAATTATTATTGTTCTATATTATTAGTTATCAATAATGGCCAATTTGAATATATACAAACAATTGAAATATAATTATTTTATTTTACAGATATTATTATTGTAGAATTATGCATACTATGTTTTAATGATGATACATCTGTCATATTTAGACCTTGTGGGCATACATTTTGCAATATTTGCGCACTTCGGTTGATTCAAGAAAATATGCATAATTGCCCATTGTGCAGAACATTCACCATGGAGTATGAAGGCATAGTAATATAGCATAAATATTAGACCATAGTAAAATATTTATTTTACATTTTTGTATTTTACTACCATGTTTAATAAATAAACTTTCTTTAAAGTTACGTTAGGTATTTTTTTTCATATCCACCGTTATTTGTATTTATATTTTTTTCAATATTACGCATGCCAGTTGTAAAATAATTTATAACCTTTACATTTTGTATTGTAAATGTTTAAATGTTATTACTAAATACTAATTATTAGGTATGTATATACATATTATTATTAAATCAGTTGCTTATCCATCAGATTTATTGGCAGGATAATTACTTTATTTAAATTGTTTAACATTATTATCAGCTGACATAGTTGTTTTTTGTACTATTTTGTTCATTATATATTTATTATAATTCACATTACAATGTTATGAAATAGACAATTTAATATTATAATTATATTATAAATATTATACATTATATTTTTTGTTGTAAATATTTAAATACTATACCTACACTATTATTATTATTATACCTATGTAGCTGACATTATAATATACACCTATTGTTTTAAAACTATACTAATATCATATTAGTAATAACTAATATGAGTGTTATGATTAATCTGGAAATATCTTATTGAATAAATTATTTAAATGGTGAAATACCTAGAAAGAACTATTTTTAACTTTTGTAATTACTTAAATTATCTTTAGGAATATTACTTGTAGGCTGCCTAGATGCTGTACATGAATTTCTGCTGAATTTTCGTAGACCAGTATCGTTGTGTCATAGTTTGATGCTTATTGTATCACAGAAACTGAATAGTAGAATAGTTGAAGATATTTAGATTTCACTACATAATATTCACCACGATGTACCACGTTAATAGTACCTATTATAATCTAATACTATAAAATGACATATTATTATAATATGAGCAACAACGTGTTAAGGTCCGCACACACTGCTGCTGTTGACGGTACGGTAACGGTAGCGATAAAATTGAGCTCATAGTTTTATATGAGGGCATGAGGCAAACCACATTTGTACGATATTATCGGATCGCTGAACGGTAGGCGCGACGATAATCTTTGTGCGGTAAAGTTTAAAACTAAACGAATGTAATTAAATGTTGATGCGCACATTGCTGCGATAAATCGCCGGTACGGTAAAAAATATCGTACCGTGCTCCGATATTTTTTTAACGTTGCATGAAATATCGTGATATTTACCGTCTACCGGGCCGATAAATATTAATAGCAATAATGTTTATCTATTTTGTAATAATTATGACATACATGTGAAGCTGTTTAGCTGTACAACTATATTACCATTATGGCATTAAGTGCTATATCTATTATGTTATACGTACTACCTTACATTATTAATATTTAAATTAAGTATTAAAAGTACAGTAGGTACTAGGTATATCATAATGATTAATATTAATAATACGTTTCTTTATCAAATATACTTCTATACTCCCATTCTGCAAATGTGGGCAAAAATTAACTTTAGTTAGTTAAGTTAAGTCAAGTCAACATTTAGAAAGCTATAAGTTAAGATTTAATAAACATTATACTTCACTCTTAAGTTTAAAGTTAACACCTGGAAAAATATGAACTTAACTCAGTTATATAAATATATAATTACTTTTTAATTTAGCTTTAAGAAAAAGCATTTTGATTAGCGTAGTAGCATTGATTATAAATACTATAATATATATAGTATTAGTAATATAATATAGTATTTATAATCAATGGTAGTAGGTACCCACCTTTAGCAATGTATACAAAATACGTAATTTCATTGTAATTCACATACAATCTTATACAAATTAATAAATGATTATTTATCTAGTATTGTGCTAAACGATTAGTAGTTATGTAGGTATTTAAATATTTTTAAAAAGTTCTGTTCGTTTTAAATACAATAAAAAAGAGCACTTTATCAAAATTGTAAGACAAACTAAAAATATTGACATCAAAAATACAATTATTTTCGGGGATTCTTACATTTACATCTAATATTATTAATTTATTATAATTTTTTGATATAGAGTTTCTTTACAATTAATAATAAGAAAATTAGGGCATTAGGTACACATATATTAAGAATTGTATTATAGTCTCATTTACAGAGAAATTATCGTCTTGTGGGAAGGGAAGGGTTTATAACAAAAATATTCATATTAAATTTACATAGCTGTCGAACAAAAAATATTTTTAAAAATAAATTGAGAGGGTATGAACCTCAAAATTCTTGTATGTGTGTCAAATATATCGTACCGCACTACCGCAGCAGTGTGTGCTAGTTGTAACGAGAAACGTTCCGCCGGTACGATATTTTACCGTCCGGTAACTCATATCGTTACCGGATCAGTGTGCAAGCTCCGACGGTAAAGATTACCGCACAAATAAAATATTGTTTACCGTACCGTCTACCGCAGCAGTGTGTGCGTACCTTTATGAATTATGATCGTATTTGATGGTATAGAACTTTTGAGTTTTGATTTCCTTTAGGATTTTTGAATTGGAGGGAAATAAAATAATTGATAAGTTATTGAAAATAGTACCATAAAATTCCATAATATGATAATATTCCACTTTTTCCAATACACATTTTTTCTAAAAACCACTATCACCAATGTAAATATTTTCCAATATTGGTAAAAACTGAAAAATGGAAAAAGTTGTTGTTGGAAAAATTAAAATGTGGAAAAAGTGGTTGATGACTTTGGAAATAGTGGTTTTTGGGAATTAGAAAACATAGAAAATATTGATTCATGGATAAACGTTCTTTTGGCAATTGAGTACAATGGTAAAACTGGTAATAACGCTACTGGATAAAATGGTTTTTGGTAATAAATGTAATGTTTACTTTTCCCAAGGTACATTTTTTCCATGGAAAAAATGTACAATGGGAAAAGTGGTAATTGGTAAAACTGGTAGCAACCCGGATCGCCTAGCGATTATCATTGATGGCAGGGTAAAGTGGAATGCGCTGTCCAATAGTTTATGGTAATAAGTACTATAGTCTATAATGACTTATAATAACTTAAAACTTGTAAGTTATAACCACAACTAATAACTAATATGATTGTAATAGACAAAAACAAAAACAGCTGCGGCTTATCAGTTAACTGGTCGTCGGGCGACAATAAATATTAAATACGACGACCGCTAACCAACGGGCGGCGATAATGCCAGAAAAATAATATAATAATGTGAACGAGTTAACATTCGACTAATCGACTGCTCAACTGCTGACAATCACTGAATCATGGCTAAATAACTTAGCCATGCACTGAATGCTGTAAATTATTTAAATAAATGTAAATGTAATAATTTACAGTATTTGCCACCATCTGACGGCTTTCGGATCGATTTCTGCTATCGCCCGGAGGAAACATTTTCCCGGAAACGTGACGACGACGTTTTGTCTAGTCGATAGTTGTTACGCAGAATAAAACATTAAACGCACTGTAATCGCCAACGACCTTGGAACGACGACGCCGTGATAAGACGAACATAATAATATGTTCACAGAATAATCTGCGATATTTTTTCCTGTTTGATAACTTGAATCGTGTAAATGTTTTTGTTTTCACGTTCATTTTTTACGTCTGTCGTCCACTCGCACAGTATATTATTTTAGTAATAATAAATTATTTGTTAATTATTATCGTATTCGACGGATGGGACGATAACGATATCGTATTATTATAATATTATCATGCGCAAACAACGAATTGAAACGTACAATTATTATTGTTGTCGTTGATACGACAATAATTCCGAGTAAAAGCCAAACCGTCGCGGCAAACTACAATCGCTTTCCAAAGGCTCAAGAGTCGAACGAGCGACGACAACCACTCATTATTCATTCCGTTTGACGGTAAACAGCAGTGCCTATAATAATTGTGTACGGTTATGGGCAACACTAGTGGTAATCAGCGCCACAAGTCGGCAGGTCTGATCGTTCCGTCGTCGCCGACAAAGGAGGTGCAAAGTCAAGCTTTTGTGTTCGATAAAACTTCGGATTCTAATGCTCTACACGAGACTAATGCTCTGTTCCCGCAGAGTTCATCCAAACCGAATGTATGTCAATAGTGGTATAGTCTAATAGGCACTTCTGTGTGTGTTTACAATATTGTTTTTTCTTTGTTATTTTTATCTTTTCATTTGATCTAATCGTTCTCGATCCAATAGGACGATGATTTCGCCGACGGAAACCCGGATTCAATGTCAGAAAGCGACACCGAAAATAAAATGTTGCCGACCGTGTTCAGATGGGATGGCGGTGGCAAAGAAGTGTTCATCAGTGGCACGTTCTCCGAATGGAAACCTATACCGATGGTTCAGAGGTATTTTTATAACGATCGAATACAACCATACATGTCATGTATGCAATAAATTGTAAACTTACATTTGTATTCACTGTAGGTAGTTAGGTGCCATCGATCATTAGGAAGAAAAGTAAGGCTTGAATAGAAAATCTAAACATTGGATCGTCCATATAGTTCATGTATACGTAGATGAACTTACATTACTTAATAATATTACTGTTGATATATTGTAATATTCATTGGATTTGTCATGAGTACATTAGGTTCATAATTTCACAAACAATATTCTTAATTTCCAAAACATTGTCTTGAATGTAATGCATAAGCTGACGTCTTACATATTGTGTTATCTTCAACTTACAAACCTGCAGTATGGCAAATAACTAACAACACTAAATTAGTTAGACCGAATGCAAATTGTTAACGTTAGGTATATGTTTGGAAGATAGAGAGAACATGTCATGCGGATGTGACCTCATCATATTTTATTGACTTCAATATTGAAATTTGAAATATAATCTAGGTGACTTGGTATAAACTTAACCTTTTAATATCAATATTTTTCAATGTCCAATTTTAATTCTTTAGTTTTTTAGTCTACCTACCTATACTTTTGCGAAGAACTCAAATTACCTATAGAACATAATCAATTATTATTTGTTTAAATCTTAAATGTATCTTCACTTTTATCTGCTAAAAAATCGGTGCAGAATCTGTGTGTGTAAGCGTTTTTTTCGATGATTCAGTTTTTAAGTGAGCTATGAGAATTTTTTATTTACGCTATATTATATATGCATAACCTACTAAAATATTGAACTATCCAACAAAAAATCCACATGCAAACACAGATAATCAGTGTTCGGACTTATCTAGATAATTATTTGTTCATCTTTCATCTTATCGAGATAAATAGTTACAAGGTAACATTTATCTTAGATAATTTTTTACTAATCTAAATAAATTCATCTGCATTTTTTATTGATAAAAATTGCGAAATTGTACAAAAGCATTTTTAAATTTTCTCAAACAAAATTTATGGTTTATAAATTATTTGTATTTACATCATTATTATTATTATGTTCCTAGTGCCCAACTAAAATATACCTAAATTTAAAACCATTTAAAAAATAATTGTATCTTTATCTTTATTTTGATAAATATGAGTTAAGTTATCTTTTATATCTATCTAGATACATTTGAGTTGCATTATCTTTATCTTTATCTAGATAAAAAAATACTTATCTAATCCGAACACTGCAGATAATGTACTTACCATCAAGTTTCATAATAGGTTGATTCACTCTAATTTTTCATCCTAAACGTAAATTTGCTATGTTACGCACTTGTAAGACGAAGACAACAAATAGATGTGTAGGGTTCTTTTTAAGTTTACAATTCAGATATAAAAAAATTTAATAAAGATTTATTAATATTAATATTATTATTTAGTCTAATATGTTTCATAAAATGTTTATTTTGACGATTGATACATATATGTAAGTCCTAAATAATCAACAAATTTCTGTTCTATACTTTTTTTCGTATAATTTACATTTAAATCATATCTTAAAAATGCACATTTACTTATATTTATAAATATTTAATTGTTAATATTGTTTTATACTTTTAAATTAAAACAACTTTTTAGCTTTATTGTTGAATTTTGAATAAGAATACATTTTTGAACTCATCAAACCCTCAAACACATTAAAATTAAAAGTAAAATTTAAGTTTGTATGCAAACATCTCAAATAGTATGAGCATTATCAAGTTTGAAATGTTCAAAGTGACAGAAGATAAATTAAAAAATTTTTTTTATTAGTTAACATTGTTTTATAACTTGTATTTTAAAATTTGTAAAAAATTTAAAAGTTCAAATTCTAACAGTAAGGGAAAATAATTTTGAATTTGTTAAAACATAAATAAGACCCACCCACCCATACTTATATAAAATGCAGGTTATATCTGTGTTACATTCCTTACATCAGTTTTTTAAAAATTTACTCAATACTCAAAAACTTTAATCATAGTCTAGATTTCTATGCTGTTTTAAAACTTGTTTTTATATATAAAACAGTGGAGGGGACATTTTTACATAGATAAGCTTTGGGAATAAATGGAACTAAAACGTACACATCAGAAGTAATATAATAGCGCCATAAACTCCCACAGATGGAAACACAATTTAAGAACCGTTGTTTTAGAGCAACATATTTTAATAATAATTTATTGAACTTAAACTTCTCATCTATGAAATGTTATCTACATGACATGATTTATTTTATTTCATTTTTAAATATATAACTAATACACTATCAATTATATGTATGATTTCAGTCACAATGATTTTGTAACTATAATTGACTTACCAGAAGGTGAACACCATTATAAATTTTGTGTTGATGGCAATTGGAAATGTGATAATAAAGTTGTAAGTTAATATTTGATTTTTACAGTATTTTGCATTTAAAAATCCATCAATTTACAATATGCTTTTTATTTATAGTCCATGATTGAAGGTGATCCAGGTATAACAAATAACAAAGTAGTAGTGAGGAAAACAGACTTTGAAGTTTTTCAAGCACTAGATGTTGATTCAATCGACGAAAATGGAATTGAAAAAAGTAATGAACATAAATATTTTATTAAGTGACTAGTAAATTTTTTTTTAATGTTTAGCCTCTAAATATCTACATTAAAAATTAAGACCAAATAATACTTAAAAACTTGAATAGCTAATTCACCATATTTCATTGTCAATTATTACATTTTCAGTAGTATTATTAAAATTTGAAATCAGAATATCAAATTAGTTTGAGTGTAAAAGTTACTACCACAATAATATGTTCATATAATATATAAATTGATTGAGAATTTTTAATTGTCTGTACTACTGTACCTTATTTAGTGGAAATATCTGTAAAAATCAAACACCTACAGAAGAACCACATAATAAACAGATTTATAAATATTTGACTATTTAAGATAAATTATCTCTTCAGAGTGCGTAAATATTAACCACTGATTTTTTTAATTCTGTTCATAAAATTGCAATGTTACATATTAAAATAATATTTATGATTTTTAATAAACCTTTAGTCTAATTTATATTTGTATGAACACTTAATAGTTGAAAATACCAGGGGCGTATTTATGGGGTTGGATATGAGGAAAAATCCGCCCCCACTGCTCTTTAAATACATGTGTATTATTATATTAAAATTATTACATCGAAATCTGTAAGCTAAAATTCTTGTCAACCTCCCCCGACAAAAAATACTAATTACGCCACTGGAAAACACAATATGTATCAAACACTTAAGAAACCTAGAAACTGTTCAGTCACTTTTTTTACTAAGGTGGTTTATCTTTACCATTAAATTGAAACATGATTAAGATATTTTGGATGAATTTAGATATTGATACTTTGAATCTATTTATATCACTATTTTTTATTTAGGTGGATTTTGTCAAGATATTCCTTCGTCAGTTCCTTGGCAGAAAGTTTCTGGACCACCAATTTTACCACCACATCTTCTGCAAGTGATACTGAACAAAGACACTTCAGTTTCGGTAATTATTTTCACTCATACAAAATAATTATTTTTATTTATTTTAAATAAATATTTTTTTTTACTTAGTGCGAACCAACACTTCTTCCAGAACCAAACCATGTGATGCTCAACCATTTGTATGCTCTTTCAATTAAGGATGGAGTCATGGTGTTGAGCGCAACACACAGATATCGTAAAAAATATGTTACTACTCTACTGTATAAACCAATCTGAACATGGTATATTAAGTTTATTTTTTTTTTTATTATTTATTCATTCATTATTAGGACAAAACACATTAGACTGAATTATAGTTCTACTACCATGTTTGATTCATTGAGCTTTCATTGGACTTTAAAATTTGAACAAATCTTTACAAGTTACTTTTATTCAGTCTTAAATATTAGGGACATTTTCCGGTAACTGCTGCAATTCCGTACAATTTTCCATTACCGTGTAAAGGTACAGGTAGACTTTCTCTCTTCACTTTTTCATTTCTTCCAGTGAATTCGATTTTCCCTCTAAAATATAAACATATAATCGTATTATATTGTATTAAACTATTAAAATATGAGAACACGTACGTTATCCAATCAGTCCAGTAAAAATTGTCTCTAGTAATAGTCAGTCCAAAAGGATAACTGCAATTAGCAACAGCAGTCCGTTGTAATCGACTCTCTATTCCAATACATTCTAAAATATAGAAAAAAAAATGTATACAATTTAATTATTTATGTACATCTCTTTAAATCTAAATTTATAAATTAAAAATATATATCTGTTTATAATATTAAATTTCTTAGTACCAACTCTTAATAATAGATGTAGGAAGACACATTTTTTTAAAAATATATTGTAAAGTTACCTATGCTTTTTAAACCTGCATCTGCCCAGCACATTTCATCTGTATACCAATCTATAGCTATAGAGTTTGGTAATTTGACATTAGGTCCTTGGACAAATATTTCTCTTTGACTGCCATCCAAATTAGACCATTCAATTTTGGGGCTATTTCTATTCCAGTCTGACCAAAATAATTTTCTAGCCATAAATAATATATATAAATTAGTTAATTGAATTATTTCAGTTTTATATAAATTATAATACTAGGTACCTTTTGTTTGGATGAACTGCAATTCCACGAGGATTACTCAGTGAAGAATTTGCTATTATTGTGACATGGGTGCCATTAGACAAATCTGCTGCCATTATTCGTTTAAAACCAGAATCGGTCCAATAAATCTTTCTATTAACCCAGTCAATGGTTAACCCTTCGGTTGATGTAGCTTCGGTAGCAATAAATTCTTGCACATTTGAACCATTTAGTTTAGCAGACTTAATTGTCTGGTCTGCTATGTAACTCCAATAGAACTGTTCTTCTAAACAATCAACTGCCAAACCTTGAAACAAAATATAATTTACTGACTGACCCTATTATGCACTTTGTCATCGTATATGATTCAAACTATGTTCCATTCATTATTTAATACTCGGTATAATGGTGTTCAAAAATAGAAAAATGTTTAACTATTACTATTCTAATATGTAACATATGACAACAATTTATAAACAAAATAAAAATTGTAAATATTTACCAATTGCTATTTTATCAAATTGCAGATGAATTGGATAATCTCCTCTTGTTTTGTTTGGAACAGTTGGAATATGCAATGTTGCCATCCCTTGATTTACAAGTAAGTAAATGTCTTCTTTTGTTGTTTTTTTATTTTCTTAAAACAAATGATACTTAAGTATAAGGGTAAAATAAGTCTGAGCAGAAGTGATTATCTAACCACTTGGCTACAAAACAATATATATTTTTTTTTTATACATAAATTCTATGTAAATATTTATGATTTTGTTTTATAGATGCTATAAATTGATGTTTTATAAACAAACTATTGTAATTTAAATAAATGTTAATTAATATGTTAATATGTGATTGACAAATATTTGTCTTACCTTTACAGTAATAACCATTTCCTATGTATCCTTGTCTACACTGACAAATGTAATGTCCTGATGTATCAATCATACACTGAGCCAATGAATGGCAAATGCTGGTATTTACAATACATGTCTCTGAGCATGATAACTCTAATCCATTCCAGTTTTCTGTGTATCCCTTCAAAAAAAAAATATTAGGAATTGTTCATTTTTATTGTGTAAATATTAAATAATTAGATGAATTAAAATTTAGCTTATTTTATTAATTACTACCTGGGCACAAGAACATTTAAAAGTATTTCCTATGTTGTTACATTCAGTATTTGCTGGACACGAGTTCTCTGTGCATCCAGTTTCAATAATCCGATCACATTGTGTAACACCATTACCTCGGTATCCGTTATTACAACGGCATGCATAATTATTTCTTTCTCCTTGTACACAATTGGCATATCTGTGACATTCGTATGAACAGCCTAGGATTGATAAATAATCTTATATTACTGTGGTTTATTGTAAATAAAATATACAACTGTGTCTTACGTGATCTTTGGCATTTGTTTTCAAGCTTTTGATAACCTTCCAAACACTTACAGCTATATATGAAACTGGTTTCGTTATACATACAAGTCTCGTTAGGGCCACAATTTGAGTCCGCAACACATTCTCCAGTCGGTGTACATATTACACCATCTCCTTCGTATCCGCTGTTGCATACACATATTGAATGACCCTCAATCATCTGACAGCTAGCATGCATATCACAGATGTTTGATTTTGAACACGATAGTTCTAAATCATTTTTAGTTGCAACATTACATACAAAATGTGTAATAAAAAGAATAAAATAAAATATAAATTTCTTTTATAAAAATAATTATTAAATGTGTACCTATTTTTAATTTTGTATTTACATACTTATCGGGTATGTAATTTAGAAGAAATATTAGAATATTTGTTTCGGCAACATTAGATAGGTATGTTGTACAATTAAATAAGAAGAAAGAAAATTGATAAAGTGATTGTGGTTTTGAAAAAGTCCTTTATTAAGAGACTGCCACTGGCTCATTGTGCTAAGATTAGCTTTAAATGCTCAACTTCTTTTATGCATAGAAAATGATAATTTATTCATCATTTGATAATGAGGAGAAAATAGTAAGTAAAATGCAGAAAGTTCAACAACATTAACAAAAATGCTGCTTCTTTAAAAAAGATCAATTCGTACGGTTTTATTAATTTTGTTTAAATTAAAATATTTATTATATACATACTACCTATGTATTAAACATGTAAGCACTTAAGGTTTTCAAAAAAAGAAACGGTCATCAAAATTGCCTGGACTCCAGGCTTTTTTTGTCTCAGTCCTGGGGACCATGTTCTACAAAAGTTTATGATCTATTGGTTTAAATAATATAAATAATATAATAATTACCTAACCTACCTACATAAGTTATTTTGAGTTTTATATTTTTGAACAATCACTATTTTCCATATTAATTATTAATTATTTTTACAGTTTCATAATATTTTTTTTCAATCTATATTATTATACAATAAAATTGTATTTTAATCCTATTAATAATAAATTCTAAAGTACCTATATAGGTGATTAACAAGATTTTCATAAAACTATAATAGCATAATACTACTTTCATTGCTATAAAACTGTAAAAGTATTTTGATAATTTTCTTAGTTCAATAATAGTATTTAAATACTTTCTATTTAAGTTTTCAATAAAGTGAATACAAACTGTATTGCATTTTATCGATTTAATCAATTTTTTTTTTTTCATCTTTTACAAGTCCATACCCAATTTTCACATTCTAATCATTCTATAAATTAACTATCGGTGAAAACATTGTTATCAAATGTTAATAATGTGTAAATTGCCCTATAATTGTCTATATAAAAATAATTCTCGGTCATAGTTTATCATATTGGAGAATTTGTATACCAAACCAATGACAGTTTGTAGTAGCAATTTTTTTTTTTTAGAGGTATTTGAACACTACAATTTATTACCATGATTTAAGATTGTATGGAATGGACACGACGTCATGATAAGACTGGCGGGTGGGTGGGGTGTGATTGTATTTTGTCACTGAAATTTAGTAAGGTGGGGGGAACTAAGCAATAATATTAAATAATTTGTTGTGCGAACCTGAACGGGTAGTCTATGGCTCCCGATAATGCTATTATATGTAATTACTTATTATCATGGTTGTAAATATCTACAACCATGATAATTATTATAGAGCTTTAATTGCCTAGTTCTCTCCCCCCCCCCCCCTACAATATTTACCGTGACATTTTCTAATCACGATTTTAGCTACCGTGTCCAGTCCATACTATTTTAGTTCATGGTTATTACTTGTAAATTTATAATAGGTACTTATTACTTATTAGTTATTACTATAAAATACAAATATGAAAAGTAGATAGGTATGGGTTAGTACCTATTTAAAAATAAAATGTGCATTGGACGGACATGAACAAAACTATAGGATCTTCACTAGGTGTTTAGAACCGAAATTACTAAAGAATACCTATTAATAATTAATATTCGGTGCTAAGTCTTAGTTTATAGTTAATATAATATAATATTGACATTTTAACCTATTGATTCTTAGTTTTCTTACCAATAATCGAACACTCATATCCGTCTCCTTCATAACCCGGATTGCATTGACACTTGTGCCGTTGTTGAGAGCTTACAAAGTTACACTGGGCATGAGCATGGCACGTGTTGATCTCAGCACACGAAACTTCAATCATTTTTAACATAAATTATACAATTAATAAACAGCATAAATATTGTTAGACCGAGACTCACTCGACGATTCTGTTATGGTGCTCTCCGGTTCTACGGTGGTAACATCATCGTAGGGTGCACAATATTCTCCGACGTCAATGTACGATGACGGACATTGACATAAATCTTGGGTACAAGTTTTCTTCACGGGACACCCCTGACCTATGTATCTATTTCCTTCCAACCGGCATCTGGGGTCTATAAACAATGTCCGTAAATTATTCAATTAATATAGAAAGTATTAGTGTATAATATACAAGTATATATCCATTGCTGTAAGGATACCTATCCGCGCCTAGTTTGCTATGTCAGTTTTTATATTTTTGTTAAAAAATTGGTTATAAATATTAATTTTTCGTCATAAATCATAATGGTAAGCACCTATTTAAATTTTTAAGTAATTACATGTTTGTGAAATATACGGTCGAGAGAGAGGCTATACGCGTATGCAAGATGGACAAATCAATTACAATG